TGCTGCAGGCGTTTGCTGCACCGGGACCCCAAGCAGCGCATCACTGCAGCAGAAGCGCTGCAGCACCCTTGGATGCTTGGGGGCCCTTGAGGTGTACAGACACCCCACAGAGACCCTCAAGGCTCACTCTTGGGTCCAAAAGACCCTAAGGGGGCCCCCTAGGGGGCCCCCTATGAGGCCCCTACGGGGCCCCTTGGGGGCCCCCTAGGGGGCCCCTAGGGGGCCCCTAGGGGGCCCCTTAGGGGGCCCTTTAGGGGGGCCCCTAGGGGTCTTCTTAGGGGGCTCTTAGGGGGCCCCTGAGGGGGCCCTTTCGGGCCTGTGCGGCTCCAGGGGGCCCCTCGGCCTGCCTAACGGGGTTCAACAGCAGCAGCAGCAGCAGCAGCAGCAGCAACAGCTGCTTCTGCAGCTGCAGCTGCCAAAGGACTCCTAGAAGACCTCTAAAGGGTCTGCTTAGAGGCCCCTCTGGGGCCCCCTGGGGGCCCCTGGGGCCCCCCAGGGGCCCCTGGGGCCCCCCAGGGGCCCCTGGGGGGCCCGAAGGGCCCCTGGGGGCCCCTGGGGCCCCCCCAGGGGCCCCTGGGGGCCCCTGGGGGCCCCTCTTGGCGTTTTGTGGAGGGGCATTGCCTTTGATGTATTTTTGTTTGAAATGAATTTTAATTTTCTATTTGGCGGCTTTTGCAGCTAGCTAGCTTGATGCAGCTAGCTAGCTGGCCAAGTGGAGCTGCTTGAGAACTTGCTAGCTAGGCAGCTAGCTAGCTAGCTAGCTGGCTAGCTAACTAGCTAGCTAGCTAGCTAGCCAGCTAGCTAGGTAGCTAGATAGGCAGCTAGCTAGGTAGCTAGCTAGCCAGCTAGCTAGCCAACAAACAGGCAGGAAAGCAGCCTAGCTAGCTGGCTAGCTAGCTTGCTATCCAGATAGCTAGCCAGCCAAGTAGCAAGCAAGCTAGCTAGCTACCTAGCTAGCCAGCTAGCAAGCAAGCTAGCGAGCTAGCTAGCCGGCAGCTAGCCAGCAGCTAGCTAGAAGCTGCCCAGGAGCTAGCCAACAGCTAGCTAGTAGCTAGCGAGCAGCTAACCAGGCAGCAGCTATCTAGTGGCTAGCTGCAAGTAGCTAGCCAGTGGCTAGCCAGCAGCAAGTTTCACTTAGCTAGCAGCTAGCTGCATCTAGGTTGCAGCTAGCTGCTGCTGCTGCGGCTGCTGCGCCTGCTGCTGCTGCCTGCTGCAGCAGCAACTGCTGCAGGGTCTGCTGCTGCTGCAACTTGGCTGTAGAGGAGCCTTGAAGGGACGCTGTTGGCTTGCGAGACAGAAGCAGCAGCTGCTGCTGCTGCTGGAGACACGGCAGCAGCTGCTGCTGCTGCAGACATGGCAGCAGCAGCAGCTGCTGCTGCTGCTCTTTTTGAGGCCACGGGAATGAGACGGGGGACACTCCGGTTTCTCTTTTTCTTAAAGATAACATATTTTCAAAAAAGGGTTTTGCTGCTGCTGCTGCTGCTGCTGCTGCTGCTGCTGCTGCTTGGGTTTGTTTGTGCTGCTGCTAAGCCGGTGCTGCGGGTCTCTCACGTCCTCAGGGTTTAGGGTTTAGGGCGTAGCGATTAGGGTTTAGGGTTTAGCATTTAGGGTTTAGGGTTTAGGGTGGAGCTTTTTTAGGATCAAGATATACCCTCGGCTTATCGTTTAGGGTTTAGGGTTTAGCGCCTAGGGTTTAGGGTTTAGGGTTTAGGCGTCCGCACGGAGTGGTGCAGCAAAACCACACAACAGCCGGGTGTGCGCAGCCCTAAACCCTAAACCCTAAACCCTAGATCTGCTGTGGCACACAGCGGAGTGCGCTGCTGCTGCTGCTTCTGCTGCTGCTGCTGCTGCTGTTGCTTGCGGGCGCAGCGCGGGCTGTGCTGCTGCAACTGCTGCAGGGATCTGAAACAACAGGATCAGCAGCAGCAGCGGCAGAAGCAGCAGCAGCGGCAGCAGCAGCAGCAGCAGCAGCGACAGCAGCAGCAAACCCTGGAGGGGCCCCCCTCACGCTGCTTGGGGGGCCCCCTCCAGTTTAGATAATGCAAATCTCCAAAACATAAATTGTTTGAAATAAAAGAAATTAAAAACAAAATGAAATTAATGGTTTCATGTAGCTGCTGTTCAATCCGCTGCGGCTGCTGCTGCCGCTGCAGTTCGCTGCTCCCTGCTGCTGCTGCTGTTGCTGCTGCTGCTGCTGCTGCTGGCGGTGGGGTGACTGCGCAGCTGCGGTGAAGCCCCAAATTGTTTTTGTTGTCTTCAAAAGTTCGAAACTAAAAGTGGCGATTCCGTTGGCGCGTCAATTGTCAGGTGTCTGTACACCGGGACGCTGCTGCAGCGAGAGCAGCAGCAGCAGCAGCGGGAGCAGCAGCAGCAGGTGACCTTCGCGGGATCCACCTCCGCAGCAGCAGCAGCAGCACACGTATGCACATGGAGACCCTCCGCAGCAGCAGCCTTGCTGCTGCTTCCGTTGCTGCTGCCAGCGACGGGGAGACGCAGCAGGTCGCGGTTGAAGCTGAAGCAACTGCAGCAGCAGCAGCAGCAGCAGCAGCAGCAGCGACACCCGCAGCAGCAGCAGCGACCCCAGCAGCAGAGCCCGCACGAGTAGCGACAGCAGCAGCAGCAACACACGTGCAGCCCAGCACGGCTGCAATAGAAGCCTTGGCAGCAGCATCAGCAGCAACAGGAGCTCTTGCTGCTGCTGCTGCTGCTGCTGCACTCCCTCCTGCACAGACAGACGCTGCTGAGGAAGCAGAAGCCTTGCTGGAAGCAGCAGCAGCAGCAGCAGAGCCGCAAAGCCTTTGCCTCTCGCCAGCTGCCTTCAGCGTGACGCCGCAGCAGCAGCAGCAGCAACTGCAGCAGCAGCTGCTGCTGCTGCAGCAAGAGGAGACTTCAAAGACTCCAGGGCCGCGTTTTAGCTCTGGCGGGGACAGCTGCGCAGGAGTTGCAGCAGATTCCGCAGCAAAAGTCCCAGCAGCAGCAGCAGCAGCAGCAGCAGGAGCAGCAGCAGCAGCAGCGACAACAGCTGCCGCAGCAGCACAGAGTGAGTTAGGAGTACCAGCTGCCTCAACCACAGCAGCAGCAACCGCAGCAGCAATGACTGCAGCAGTAGCAGCAGCAGCAACGACAGCAGCAGCATTGCCTGGGGACCACGCAGCAGCAGCAGCAGCAGCAGCAGATATTGCTGCAGTGGGGTACTCCTGTGGAGCCCAGCCCCAGCTGGCAGAAGCAGCAGCAACACAAGCAGCAGCAGCGGGAGCACAAGGAGCAGCAGCAGCAGAAACAGAAGCAGCAAAACCATCCGCAGCAGTAGCAGCAAACGTAGCAGCAGCAGCAGCAGCAGCAGCAACTCACTCGGCTTTGGTTCCGGCGACACTCCCCGCAGCAACAGCAGCAGCGGCTCAAGCAGCAGCAGCAGCTCCTGCAGCAGCAGCAGCCCAACTCGCAGCAGCAGCAGCTCCTGCAGCAGCAGCAGCCCAACTCGCAGCAGCAGCAGCTCCTGCAGCAGCAGCAGGCTTAGCCGCAGCAGCAGCAACCTCTATACCAGCAGCAGCCACAGCAGCGCCGTTTGCAGCAGCTGCAACGCAGCTGGCTGCAACTGCGACCACAACAGCAGCAGCAGCAGCAGCAGCGGCAGCAGCAGCAGCAGCAGCAGATGCACAAGCAGCAACAGCACCTCTTGCAGCAGCACCTGCGGCGCATGCAGCAGCCCCCCGAGAGGTGCCAACTGCAGCAGCAGCACTTGCGGCAGCAACGCCAGCAGCAGCAGCAGCAGCACCAGCTGGCCCAGCAGCAGCGGCAGCAACGGCAACGCCCGCAGCAGCAGCTGCTGCTGCAGCAGCACCCCTGGCAGCAGCAGCAAAGCTGACGGCCCCAACGCCGCAGCATGCAGCAGTAACTTCAGCAGCAGCTGCTGCAGCAGCAGCACCTCTAGCAGCAGCAGCAAAGCTGGTGGCTCCGACGCCGCAGCATGCAGCAGCAGCTGCTGCAACAGCAGCTACTGCAGCAGCAGCGCCTCTAAGGGCGTATGTTTTATCCCCTACAGCAGCAGCTCCAGCAGAAGCAGCAGCAGCAACAGCAGCAGCAGCAGCAGCAGCAGCAGCAGCAGCCGTGCGAGCGCCTCTAGCAGCAGAAACCGAAACACCTGCAGCAGAAGGAATGCCCGCAGCTGCTGCAGCACCAACTGCTGCATTGGCTGCAGCACCAGCTGCAGCACCAGCTGCAGCACCAGCTGCAGCACCAGCTGCAGCACCAGCTGCAGCACCAGCTGCAGCACCAGCTGCAGCTCCAGCTGCAGCTCCAGCTGCAGCTCCAGCTGCAGCACCAGCTGCAGCACCAGCAGCAGAGGCAGCTGCAGCACCAGCAGCAGAGGCAGCTGCAGCACCAGCAGCAGAGGCAGCTGCAGCACCAGCAGCAGCACCAGCAGCAAAAGCCGCCGAAACACCAGCAGCAGAAGCAGCTGCAGCGCGAGCTGCAGCACCCCCAGCAGAGGCAGCTGCAGCACCAGCAGCAGAGGCAGCTGCAGCACCAGCAGCAAAACCAGCTGCAGCAGCAGCAGCAAAACCAGCTGCAGCACCAGCTGCAGCACCAGCTGCAGCACAAGAATCAGCTGATGTTGCTGTCATAGCCTTACAGGGAGCAGCATCGGAGGTTCCTCCTGCTGCAGCAGCAGCAGCAGCAGAAGCTCCTGCTGCTGCTGCTGCAGCACCTGCTGTTTTAGCCGGGGAGGCACCAGCAGCACTGCCATGCCCAGTTCCAGCAGCAGCAGCAGAAACAGCAGCAGCAGCAGCAGCAGCAGCAGCAAAAGGCGCCACGCGTTGCATGCCTTCTCCAGGGGCCTCTAGGGAGCAGCTGCTGCTGCAGCAAAAGCTGCTGCTGCAGAAGCAGCTTGAGGCGCTGCAGCGCGAGCACGACATGCTCCAAATGCAGCGCGTGCAGCAGGGACAGCAGCAGCAGCAGCAGCAGCAGCAGCAGCAGCAGCAGCAGCAGCAAACTGCAGCTCCTGCTGCTGCTTCTATTGTCGCGGCTGCCTTCGACACACCAGCAGTTGCTGCTGCAGCAAGCTCGTCTCTCTCTGCTGTCAGTGCTGCTGTTTTTTCCGACACTCCAGCAGCAGCAGCAGCAGCAGCAGCAGCACCTGCGCAGCAAGACCCCTCGGCGTCTGCGGCTGCTGCTGCTGCGGTTGCTGCTGCTGCTGCTACTGCTGCCGATTCAGATGCTGCAGCTAGAGGTGTCGAAACACCGCAAGTTGCTGCAGCTACTTGCTGCTTGGGTACAGCAGCAGCTGCTGCTGCAGCCAGTGCGGGAGTACAAGCAGCAGCAGCCGGCGCTGCTGCTGCAGCCGCTGCTGCTGCAGCTGCTGCTGCTGCAGCCGCTGCTGCTGCATCCCCTGCTGCTGTATCCCCTGCTGCAGCACCAAGTATAGCTCCGGTCACTGCAGCAACGAACGAGACAGCAGCCGCACAGGCAGCTCCCCCTGCAGCAGGAGCAGCAGCTGCTGCAGCAACAGCAGCAGCAGCAGCCAACGAAGAAAAATTAGCAGCAGCAGCAGCAAAAGATATACAAGCAGCAGCCTCACCCACAGCAGCAGCAGCAGCAGACGCTGCGGAAGTGCGGGCACTAGCAGCAAAGCCAGGAACTGACAGCCTTGCTTCCGAAGCAGCAGCAAACGTAACGGCAGCTTCTGCTGCTGCTGCTGCTGCTGCTGCTGCTGCTGCACCGGCAGGCACTGCTGTTGCTGCTGCTGATACACCCGCAGCAATTCTTGGTGCTGCTGCTGCTTCTCAGGCGGCGCCTGCAGCTGCTGCTGCTACACAGGCAGCATCTGCTGTAGCAGCTCCCGTTGTTGCTGCTGCTACTCAAGCAGCAACTGCTGCTGCTGCTGCTGCTGCTGCTGCGGTGCCAACAGCAGCTCCTGCCTTTCTCGCTGCTGAACAAGCAGCAGCTGCTGCTGCTGCTGCACCGGCAGCGGTTGCTTGTGCTGCTGTTGAACCAGCAGCTGCTGCTGCTGCTGTTGCTGCTGTTGCTGCTGCACAGGCGGCTTCCACCTCCACTGCGCCTCCAGCGGTTCCTGCTGGTGCTGCTGCTGCACCAGCAGCAATGCCTGGTGTTGCTGCTGTTGCTGTTCCAGAAGCAGCGCCTTCTGTTGCTGCTGCTGCTGCATCAGCAGCAGCACCTCCTGTTGCTGATGCTGCTGCTGCACCAGCAGCAATGCCTTCTGTTGCTGATGCTGCTGCTGCACCAGCAGCAATGCCTTCCGTTGCTGCTGCTGCTGCACCAGCAGCACCTCATACTGCTGCTATTAAACCTGCAGCGTCCCCTGCTGCTGCTGTACCCACAGCAGCTCGTGCTGCTGCACCTGCAGCAACACCTGCTGCTGCCCCCGCAGCAACTCCTATTGCTGCTAAACCAGCAGCAACACCTGCTGCTGCTGCGACCACAGCAGCAGCAGCAGCAGCCGCGCCTGCATGTGCTCCAGGAGGACCAGCAGCAACACTTGTAGATGCAGCAGCTGCAGCTTCCCCGGTGCACTGCATTCCCGATACTGCTGCTCGAGGCGCAGCAGCTGCTGCTGTCACTGCTGCTGCTGTTGCTGCTGCTGCTGCTACGAAGCTCCAAGAGTGCGAACAAACCCTGAAGCCCTCCAGCAGCAGCAGCAGCAGCAGCAGCAGCAGCAGCCGCAGCGGCGGCAGCAGCAAGTGCATCAACGACGAAGCTGTTAACGAGCCGCTGGAAGAATCGGAGGCGGTTTTAGCCGTCACGGAGCAACAGCAGCAATCGCAACAGCAGCAGCAGCAGCAACAGCAGCAGCAGCAGCAACAGCAGCAGCAGCAGCAGCAGCTGGCAGCAGCCAGCGCTTCCAGGGATTCGCTGCCGCCCTTGTTGTCCGGAGGCCCCAAGAGAACTCATGCTGCTGCTGGTGGTCCTGTGCGTAAGCGGCAGCAGCTGATGAGGCCCGGGCTGCAGCGGCCTGCAGCAGCAGCCAGTCCTGCTGCTGCTGCTGCTGCTGCTGCTGCTGCTGCTGCTGCTGCTGCTGAGCAAGCAGCAGACGAGCAGAAGCTGTTTCAAGACACGCGGCTGCGCGTGGGAGACAGCGTGGAGGTTTTGTGGGTGCTGCACGAGGACGCAGCCGACTGCAGCAACCCCCAGCAGCAGCAGCAGCAGCAGCAGCAGCAGCAGCAGCAGCAGCAGCAGCAGGTGTGGTGGCCCGCGGAAATCCGAAGGGCCCCACATAAACGAAAAGACCGCGAGGGCCGCCTCGAGCTGCTGCTGCACTATTTGCCCTTCAGGGGCCTCCCAGCAGAAGACGCCAGAGTGGTATTTGAGGGGCCCCACACCCTCAGGCACTTGGGGGCCCCACGCCAGCAGCAGCAGCAGCAGCAGCAGCAGCAGCAGCAAGAGCAGCAGCAGCAGCAGCAGGGAGGTGAAGAGCCCACGCTGGATGAAGAGGTTGCTGAGGCGCCCCGGCTCCGCTGCAGAAGGAAGGGCTCTGTTACCCCACCTAGTAGGCTGCTGCTGCTACTGCATTATCTGCTGCTGCTGCTGCTGCTGCTGCTGCTGCTGCTGCTGCTGCTGCTCCTGTTTAACCAGCTGCATTGGCTGCTGCTGCTGCGTTACCTGATGCTCTTGCTGCCCGTGTTTTAACTGCTGCTGCTATCTTGGCGGCCGCTGCTATTGCAGCACCTGCTGCTGCTTCTCTAGTGTTGCTGCTGCTGCTGCATTAGCTGCTGCATTAGCTGCTGCTGCTGCTGCTGCTGCTGCCTGTAGGCTCGGACTCTGAGGGTTGCTTGTCTGAATGCGGCGAAGACGTAAATGTCTCTGTAGCCGAAATCCTCAGCGAGCAGGCGAGGCTTGACAGAGAACAGGCAAGGCTGCTGCTGCTGCTGCTGCTGCTGCTGCTGCTGCTGCTGCTTCTGTTGCTGCTGCTGTTGCTGGCGTTGCTGCTGCGGCATCTGTTATCGCTGCTTCTGGTGCTAGCGCAACCGCTGTTTCGATTGGTGCTGCTGTTGGCACTACTGCTGCTGCTGTTGCTGCTGCTGTCTCTGCTGCTGCTGCTGCTCGTTGCTGCTGCTGCTGGTAGTGTCTGTTTCCTGCTGCTAGCAGTTGGTCTTGCATTTCACGCATCAGTCACTGTAGCACAAGCAGCAGCAGCCGCTGTAGCAGCAGCAACCACTGCTGCAGCAGCAGCCACTGCAGCAGCAGCAGCAACCACTGCTGCAGCAGCATCCACTGCAGCAGCTGCAGCAGCAGCAGCAGCAGCAGCAAAGCGTGTAATGTTTGCCTCAGGGAACAACAGAAACACCGACAGCTGAGGCGGCGATGATGGCAGCTTTTCATCAGCTGCCCTTGGAGACAGTTAGTGAAGATTTGCTGCTGCTGCTGCTGCTGCTGCTGCTGCTGCCTGCGCATCTGCTGCTGCTCCTATTGTTGCTGCTTCTCCGGCCCTGCTGCTGCTTCCGTGCCTTCTCAGCAGCACTTGCTGCTGCTGCTGTGGCTGCTGCTGGAGTTGCCACCATTCTTTCATCAGAGCGGTCTTTGCTGCTGTATGCTTGCTGCTGCTGCTGTATGCTTGCTGCTGCTGCTGTTGGTGATTGCTTCCTACTGCTGCTGCTGCTGTTGGTGATTGCTTCCTTCTGCTGCTGCTGCTGTGCTGCAGCAAATGGTAATGGCGAGTAACTACAGGTCATTTGCGGACAAATTCGTGGTGAGGCCCCACTTTCCTTTCTTTAAGTTGCTGCTGCAGATCCATGCTGCTCTACTTCAGCAGCAGCAGCAGCAGCAGCAGCAGCAGCAGCAACAGCAGCAGCAGCAGCAGCAGCGAAGCAAGCTGCTGCTCCAGCCGTATCCCAGAGTAGCGAGTTCTCTAGGTGCGGCTGGTCTTTCTTGTGGCTTATAGCTGCCTCCTCTGCTGCTGCTGCCGCTGCTGCTGCTGCCGCTGCTGCTGCTGCTGCCGCTGCTGCTGCTGCTGCTGCTGCAGCAATTTCTTCAGGAGCGAGTCCGGGAGCGGGGCCCCTCCTGCACTATTACTGAAAGCGATGTGAGGGCCTTCAGAGAACAGCTGCAGCTGGAAGCAAACTTGGGGGGCCCCCCATCTTGGCGGGGGCCCCTGTGAAGCTGTGGGGGCCCCCCTGCTGCTGCTGCTGCTGCTGCTGCTGCTGCTGCAGCGGAAAAGTCTCGCCTGCTGCAGGAGCAGCGACAGCAGCGAGGCCGCAGCAGCTGCCGCTGCTGCTGCTGCTGCTGCTGCTGCTTTTGTCAACAGCAGCTGGTTTGATTGTCATGGCAGCTGCCTCCTTGCTGCAGCAAAAGGGACAGGAGATGCAGCAGCAAATCATCTCTGCTGCTGCAAGCCCGCTTCACCCCCAGGGGGCCCCACAAGGGCCTCCTGGGGGCCCCCCGGGGGCTCCCAAAGGTCTAATTAAAAGCCTTTAGGGCCCTTTAAAGGGGCCCCAAAGGGACCTCTAATTTGCCTAGAGGGGGCCCCTTAGGGGGGCCCCTAGGGGCCCCCCAGGGGGCCCCCCAGGGGCCCCGCAGGGGCCCCCCAGGGGCCCCCCAGGGGCCCCCCAGGGGGCCCCCAAAGGGGCCCTTTTCGCCAGGCGGCGCTGCTAGGAGGCTCGGGAGCTTCTGGTGGGCCCCGTCGGTTTTTTTCTGCTGCAGCAGCAACAGCAGCAGCAGCAGCTGTTGCTGCAGCAGCAGCAACAGCTGCTGCTGCTGTTGCTGCTGCAGCAGCAGCAGCAGCTGCTGCTGCTGCTGATGCTGCCTGTGCCGTTTCTTCTTTTGTCAGTTCTCGTTTTTCAACCAAGATGTCGTTTGGTCATATTGGGGGCCCCCTTGTCAGAAGGGGGGCCCCCAAATGCAGGGGCCCCACAATAAGGGGGCCCCCCTAGTGTGGGGCCCCACACTAAGGGGCCCCTGGGGGCCCCCCTAGTGTGGGGCCCAAACTAAGGGGGCCCCAGCAGCAGAAGAGTCCAGAGGGAAGGGGGCCCCCCATGCAGATAAGGGGGCCCTATACGAGTTGGGGCTGCCCCCGTGGGAGCAGCTGCTGCTGCTGCTAGCTGCTGCTGCAGCTGCTGCTGCTGCTAGCTGCTGCTGCAGCTAGCTGCAGCAGCAGCTAGCTACAACTGCTTGTGTCTAGCTGTTTCAAACAGCAGTTAGCTGTAGCTAGCTGCGGTTGGCTGTAGTCTCTAGCCCCCGCTAGCCCGGCCTGGCTAGCTGCAGCTAGCTGCAGCTAGCTACAGCTAGCTACAGCTAGCTGTGGCTAGCTGGGCCAGGCTAGCGGCCGATCGCAGTTAGCTGCAGCTAGCTGCGATTGGCTGTAGTCTCTAGCCCCCGCTAGCCTGGCCTAGCTAGCCACAGCTAGCTGTAGCCACGTGTAGCTGGCTGCAGCTAGCTGCAGTTAGCTGCAGCTAGCTACGGCTAGCTACAGCTAGCTACAGCTAGCTGCATATTTCTTTTTGCTTCATTTTGTAGGGGCAACCTGCCTTCTTAGTTTTGTTTGTGTCTTACGGCTGGCGAGTTGTGGGGCCCCACACTGCAGCAGCAGTAGCAGCAGGAGCGCAAGCAGCAGCAGAAGCAGCAGCAGCAGCAGCAGCAGCAGCAGCAGCAGCACTGAGGCGTCTCTATGAGAAAAGTGCAGCAGCAAACTTTGAATGCAAATATATTAATTAGAGGGTTATGACTGCAGCAGCAAAAAGATGAAATTATAATTATTTAATTCGTCCATTGAAAAGAAAGTTCACTTCAATGAAAGCCCAGCGCTGCAGCAGCAACAGCAGAAGTTGGAGATTTGGGAAGAAAGATGGAAATAAATATTTTGAATAATTGCAAAAAGGAATTATAATTTCATTTTCATTTAATTTTAATGTTTGTAGCAGCTCATCTTTGCATGCATGCAGATATTGTGAGGCATTTCCTGCACAGAATCGATTGCAGCTGCTGAGACTCAGAGAGGCAGGCATTTGCTGCTGCTGGTCAGCAGCAAGGACCTCCTAATTACGCGCTAGACTTGCATTTAAATTCAATTTTGAACATGAATTTGAATATTGAATTATAATTTTAGTTGAATTTCAAAACTTAGTTTATTTTAACTTGCACGCGAGAGGCTGGATCTGCTGCTTCGAGCTGCTCCACCCAGGCAGCAGCAGCAGCAGCAAGACACGCTGCTGCTCCTCTTCATCTTTTTGTGGTTTTACCCTTTTGTTGACTCCAAAATAAATCAATTTAAAGGCAAGAGACTTTGAGGAGTTTCTGCTCGAGGGAACCGTGGGCGCGCAGTCGACCGCTGGCAGCCCTAAACCCTAAACCCTAAACCCTAAACCCTCGGCCTCCAGCGGCGGACCCGCCTTCTTGCGAGGGTGGCTGCTAGAGCAGCAGCAACAGCTGCAGCAGCTGCTGCTGCCTGCTGCGACAGCAGCAGCGGCAGCTGCTGCAGCACGTAGCGCACCAATCCGCAGCCACCGTCAGCTGCAGCAGCCCCTCAGCAGCAGCAGCAGCAGCAGCAGCAGCAGCAGCAGCAGCAGCAGCAGGATGCCGGAGGGCCACCAGGTGTCTCCAAGGGATTTCTTTCGTCCCTTGTCTGAAGAGACAGGCAGCATAGACTTGATAGATATACAGCAGCTAGAGTTTGCTGCTGCTGAGAAGCTGCAGCAGCAGCAGGACAGCAGCAGCAGCAGCAGCAGCAGCAGCAGGCTCTTCCCTCGCCTCGCCCGGAGAGAGGAGGACCGCCTGTCGCTCTTCAGCCTTCTTCTTGTGGCTGCTGCTGCTTTCCTTTTTGCTGCTGCTGCTGCTGCTGCTGTTGCTGCAGTGCCTATTAACTCTCAAAAGGGCTTTGCAGATTCTGCAAAGCTGCTGATGCTCTTTCCCGAGACGCTGCAGCAGCAGTTCCACCGCTTCCAGCAGCAGCAGCAGCAGCAGCAGCAGCAGCAGCAGCATCTGCTGCCGGAGCAGCCGCAGAAGGATGTAAAGCGCTGCTCTGTCCACCAGGAGAAGCAGCAGGGGCAAAAGCAGCAGCAGCAGCAGCAGACACTGCAGCAGCTGCAGCAGGAAGACCAGCTGCAGCAGCAGCAGTACAGCCAGCAGCAGCTGCAGCAGGAAGACCAGCTGCAGCAGCAACAGCTGCTGCTGCAGCAGGAGCCACAGCAGCAGCAGCAGCAGCCGCCGCAGCAGCAGCAGCCGCAGCAGCAGCCGCAGCAGCAGCAGCAGCAGCAGAAAAGCTCTGGCTCTGATCTTCTCAATAGTTTAAAGAAACATTTTTTACTTCCCCTTTTGAAAGCTCCACAGAAGGAAGGCGACCGCCAGACAATTGACGCTGCAGCAGCAGCAGCAGCAGCAGCAGCAACAGCAGCAACCGCAGCAGCAGCAGCAGCAACAGCAGCAGCAAGTAGTGTGGAGAGTACAGGTACTGCCTATCCCTCCAAATAAAGAGAGGCAGCAACACAAGGCCGCTGCAACAGCTAAGGGACCACTGGGCAGCGAGAGCAGCAGCAGCAACAGCAACAGCAGCAGCAGCAGCAGCTGCTGCTGCTGCTGCTGCTGCACCAGGAGCAGCAACAGCAGCAGCTGCTGCTGCTGCTGCAGCTTACACAGTCACTTACCTTTGGCGATTCATTGCCCAGCGCTTTTTTTCTTCTTGCGATTTGCTGCTGCCTCTCAAAGGCAATTTGCTGCAGCTGCTGCTGCAGCTGTTCTGCGGCTTTCTGCTGCCGCTGCTGCAGCAGCAGCTTCTGCTGCTGCTGCACTTCAGCGCAGACTTGCAAAGCTTTGCTGCGTTCTTCTTGTAGCCAGGCAGCATCAGCAGGTAGAGGCTCCAGGCCTGCTGCTGCAGCAGCAGCAGTAGCAGCAGCAGCAGCAGCAGCAGCAAAGAAGCTCGGTGCCGGTTCAACATTTCCGCAGCGACGTTTCAGCTTTATTTGGCTACCCACCGCAGTAGCTAGCTAGCTAGCTAGCTAGCTGCGCAGCTGGCTAGCTGGCTAGCTAACTGGCTAGCTAGCTAGCTATCTAGCTGCGCAGCTAGCCATAAGGTGATGGGGCAGCTTTGTGGCCCTTTGCCTTTTCAGCTAGCTAAGCAGCTAGCCACCAGCTAGCTAGCTGTCTCACTGGCTAGCTAGCCAGACTGAACAGGTAGTGCTCAAGCCAGCTAGCTAGCTAGCTAGCTGGCCAGCTAACTAGTTAGCTAGCTGGCTAGCTGCGAAGGTGCATAGCTAGCTAGGCGAAAGGGTGATTTCTTATTCATTTGCCTGACTAGCTAGCTAGTATATTAGCTAGCTAGCTAGCTAGCTGGCTAGCTAGCTAGCTAGCTCATCATCTACCTGGCCAGCTAGCTAGCCACATGCTGTCTAACCTAGCCCCTCAGCTAGCGAGCTAGCTAGGTCAAGAGCTAGCCAGCTAGCCAGGTAACTGGCAAGCTACCCAAACAGCTAGCTAGCGAGCTAGCTAAACAGCTTGGCAGCTAGCTAGCTAGCTAGCTAGCTAGCTAGTTAAACAGCTTGTCAGCCAGCTAGCTAGCTATGTAGCTAGCTAGCTAGCTAGCTAGCTAAACAGCTTGCCAGCCAGCTAGCTACCTATGTAACTAGCTAGCTAGCTAGCTAGCTAAACAGCTTGGCAGCTAGCTAGCCAGCTAGCTAGCTAGCTAGCTAAATACCTGCTAGGGCGTCTTTGGTCTCGGTGAGGGCGTCGAGGCGCCAGAGTATCTCTCCTGCTCTGATGAATATTTGCTGCTGCGCTGCTGCTGCTGTCAGCTCTTCGCTGTCTTCTGCTGCTGCTGCTGCCTCTGTCCCTTGGTTTGCTGCTGCTGCTGCTGCTTCCAGCTTGCGAAGGCAAACAAATAACTCAAAGCGAAGGTCCTGACCAGCACAAACCAGAGAGATGCACAGCTGCCTGCAGCAGCAGCAACAGCAGCAGCAGCAGCAGCAACCGCAGCAGCAGCAGCAACAGCAGCAGCAGCAGCAGCAGCAGCACATCAGCCTTACATCTGACTGAGTGCAAGCAGCAGCCCTCATGGCCATTAGCCTTTCGGGGAGCTGCACCTCCCAGGGCTTTGCTGCTCCTTTGCTGCAGTCCTCGCTGTCTTCTGCTGCAGAAGCAGCAGCAGCAACAGCAGCAACAGCAGCAACAGCAGCAGCAGCTTGCCAGCGGATCTCTGCTGTGCGTGTCCATATTGAGGGCGGCAGTTGCTGCTCTCTCGGGCTGCAGCTAGCTGCAAATCTGCTCCCAAAAGACCCGCAGCAGCAGCAGCAGCAGCAGCAGCAGCAGCAGCAGCAGCAGCAGCAGCAGCTCACCTGGGGGCCTGCAGACTCTGCGGATGTCTAGGGTTTGCTGCTGAGGGCCCAAACTGGAGAGACACTGCAGCAGCAGCGGGCGGTTTAGGTCTTTGATTTCTCCTGAGGTGGATATACACCCGAAGCGCTGCTGCTCGGCTAGCCACAGCTGCAGCAGCAGCTGCTGCAGCGTCTGTTGCTGCTGCTGCTGCTGCTGCTGCTGCTGCGGACCGCTGCCGAGCCAGCCTCGCCAAGACCGACAAGCAGCAGCAGCAGCAGGAGAGTCCAGCGCGTCAGCAAGTGCGGCCAGCAACTGCGTGTGCAGCAGCAGCAGCAACAGCAGCAGCAGCAGCAGAAGCAGCAGCAACAGTGCAGCAGCAGCATTAGAGCTATTTTAAGCTTTCCGTGAGCAGCAGTCTTCTCTTTGTGTTTTATCTGCAAGTTAATTTGGCTGCTGGCTTTAAGTCTCTCAACTAGCTGTGGCTAGCTGTGGCTAGCTGTGGCTAGCTGTGGCTAGCTGTGGCTAGCTGTGGCTAGCCACAGCTATGCGCCTAGCTGTGGCTAGCTGTGGCCAGCTATGGCTAGCTGCGGTTAGCAGTAGTTATCCACGGCTAACTATGGCTAGCTGTGGCTAGTTGTAGCTAGCTGCGGCTATCTGTGGCTAGCTGTGGCTAGCTGTGGCTAGCTGTGGCTAGCTGTGGCTAGTTGTAGCTAGCTGCGGCTAACTGTATCTAGCCGTAGCTAGCTGTGGCTAGCTGTGGCTAGCTGTGGCTAGCTGTGGCTGGACGTGGCTAGCTGTGGCTGGCTGTGGCTAGCTGTGGCTAGTTGTGGCTAGCCCCTTAAGAAGAGGTCTGGCTAGCTCCCTAGCTAGCTGCTGACTGAACTACCACCGCTGCTTTAGCTAGCAGCTAGCTAGCTAGCCGCACGACTAGCTAGCCAGGCACACGGCTAGCTAGCTAGCTAGCTGGCTGGCTAGCCAGCTAGCTAGCTAGCTATTTGCGCGCCTAGCTAGCTAGCTCCGTCCACTGCTACCTAGCGAATAAGAGTGAGCCAGGTGCTTCTCTGCGGCTAGCTAGCTAGCTAGCCATTCAGCTAGCTGACTAGCTAGCCACCCAGCAAGCTAGCTAGCCACGCAGCTAGCTAGCTAGCTAGCTAGCTAGCTGTCTTTAGGGGCTCACCGGCTGCAGATGCCTGCGAGGAGTGTGTGCAATTGCTGCAGCAAGTGCTGCCATTCCGCCAGCAGCAGCAAAAGCTGCTGCTGCTTCCTCGCTGGAAGCAGCAAGAGCTCGCACTGCTGCTGCTGCAGCGCAGCTGAAGAGCGCGGCAGCAGCATTAGCAGCAGCTGCTGCTGCTGCTGTTGCTGCTGCTGCTGCTGCTGCGGCTGCGCAGGAAGGCCCCGGGGGCAGCTGCTGCTGCAGCCAGCTCGCCAGCAGCAGCAAGCCGTCAGCAGCAGCAACAGCAGCAGCAGCTTTTGTGTCTCCTTCACACAAACGAGACAGCAGCAGCCAGGCGTTGCAGCAGCAAATCATTTCAGGTGTACAGACACCTGAAGATGAATGCGATTCAGCACAAGGGCTGCTGCTGTTGTTGTTGTTGCTGCTGCTGCTGCTGCTGCTGCTGCTGCTGCTGCTGCTGCTGCTGCTGTTGCTGCCGCGTCTTGCAGCCGCAAGGGATTCATCAGAGCGTTCAGCTGTTCTTTTCTGTTTTTGCTGCTGCAGCTGCTGCTGCTTTTGCTGCTGCTGCTGCTGCTGCTGCTGTTTCTGTTGTTGCTGCTGCTGCTTTTGCTGCTGCTGCTCCATAAGTTTCTGCAGCAGAGTCAGCAGCTGCTGCAGAGCCCCTGCCTCGATGAACGCCTCACGAGCCTGTGCCCAGTTGCTGCTTCTGTCTGCTGCTGCTGCTGCTGCTGCTGCTGCTGCTGCTGCTGCTGTGGGGTAGAGGAGAGCTAGCCCCTGCTGCAGGGCCGCAGCACAAGCGTCTGTGTCTCCTTCAGCAGCAGCTGCTGCAGCAACCCGCAGCAGCGCAGCAGGACCCCCAGCAGCAACAGCAGCAGCAGGACACAGCACTGCCACTTCTCCTAGGCAGCAAAGTGCTGTAGAAGACAACACCTTCAGCTGGTTTGCTGCAGCACAGCAGCAGCACAGCAGCAGCAGCGCAGCAGCAGCACAGCAGCAGCACGAGACAAGCACCAACGGGGCGTGGCAGCAACGAGATGAAACACAGAAATGCAACAGCAGCAGCAGCAGCAGCTGCTGCTGCAGCAACTGCTGCTGCTGCTGTTCCTGCTTTCGATTTAGCGCAGCTCTGCTTCATCGCCTGCTCAGGCAGCTCAAAAGCTCCGTTCGTGCTGCTGTCTGCTGCTGCTGCTGCTGCTGCTGCTGCTGCTGCTGCTGCTGCTGCTGAGTGTCAGTCACCTGAAAACCTCCAGGGAGCAGCAGCAAACAGCTCTTGTCTTCTGGTGTCTGTACAGTCGGCGAGGGCCTGGAGTGTCTCTACAAGAGGAAAATGAAGACAGCGAGCGCAGCAGCAGCAGCAGCGCATGCAGCGGCAGAGACACAGCAGCAGCAGCTGCAGCAGCTCCAGGTCCGCTGCAGTCGCTAGCTCCTTCGCATTGCCGCTGCTGCTGCTGCTGCTGCTGCTGCTGTCGTTGCTGGTGCTGCTGGCGCTGTTGCAGCTGCTGCTGCTGCTGTTGCATCCCGGCGCCTCGCCCTGGCAGTCCGCAACAGCAGGAGCACCAGCAGCAGCAGCAGCAGCAGCAGCAGCAGCAGGTTTTGAAGCAGCAAGTGCAGCGCCAAAAGTGGCAAAGCGCAGCAGCTGGCAAAGGACTCCGCTGGGGGGAAAGAAGGGCAGCAGCAAAGGCCGGTTTGCTGCCAGCAGCAGCACCGAAATTAAATCATTTCTTGCTGCTCTTTGCCGCAGCGAAGGTGCTGGCAGCAGCAGCTGCTGCAGCCAAAGAGAGAGCCCCTGCAGCAGCAAACGGCGCCCCTCGGGGCCCCCGCGGGGCCCCGAGGGGCAGTGCTGCAGCAGCAGCAGCAGCAGCTGCAGCACGAGCTCCTGCCGCGTCCACCAAACGTATGTGGGGCTCAACGCACTTCCTGCTGCTGCTGCTGCTGCTGCTGCTGCTGCGGGGTGCTGCTGCTCTGCTGCTGCTTCTGGCTGCTGCAGGGCTTTGCTGCTGCTCGGCACTGCCTCTGTGGGGCCCGGCGAGCTGCCTATACACCTGAAAATGAGGCAGCAAAGTGTGCTGCAGCAGCAAAGGAAGTTGGCTAGCTGCGGCTGCGCAGCAAAGAGCAGCAGCACGCGCAGCAGCTCGAGTTCTTCTGCTGCTTCCAGTGTTGCAGTTTTTAGTTTTAATTTAATTTCTTTTTTCAAATTTAATTTAAATTCTTTTTCCAAGTCCATAAAAGTCTGCTCTTCTCCCCGAAGAGCAGCAACGGCGTTGCTGAGGGCCTCCTGCAGGTAAGCAGCACCCGCGCTGCTGGCAGCAGGGGCCCTTTCGCTTGCTGCTGCTGCAGGCGCTGCTGCTGCTGCTGCTTCTGCTGCTGCTGACGCTGCAGCGGACCTTGCTGCTGCAGCTGCCTCCGAAGGTGCAGCAGCAGCTGCTGCTGCTGCTGCACCTGGGAGCCTGGTGACGCAAAAGCAGCCGCTAAAAGGCTCTCGGTGAGGTCAGGCAGCAGCAGCAGCAACAAGTACAGCAGCAGCAGCAGCAGCAACTGAGATACCAGCAGCAGCAGCAACAGTAGCAGGAGAAGCAAGACAAATAACAGCAGAAGCGGCAGAAGCAACAGAAGCAACAGAAGCAAGAGCAACAACAGTAGAAGCAGCAGCAGCAGCAGCAGCAGCAGCAGCAGCAGCAGCAGCAGCAGCAGCAGCAGCAGCAGCAGCAGCAGAACAGCAGCAGCAGCAGCAGCAGCAGCAGCAGCAGCAGCAGCAGCAGCAGCAGCAGCAGCAGCAGCAGCAAAAGTTTCTTCGCACTTGTTGTTAAATATGGGCTGCAGCAAATGTGTTGCTGCTGCTCTCAGCACCTGAATTACCGCGCGGCGCAGCTGGGCAAAGGCCTCGTCGTCTTTTGGGCCCCACTGGCCTCCATTTGCTGCTGCTGCTGCTGCTGCTGCTGCTGCTGCATCTGCTGCTGCTCTTGCTGACCTTATCGCTGCTGCTGCTTCCAGTGGAGTTGCCAGCGATGGCAATGCTGCTGCTTCTGCTGCTATCGTTGCAGCTGCTGGTGCCGCTGGTTCTTCTGCAGCTGCTGCTGTTGCTGTTGTTGCTGCTGCTGCTGCTGTTGCTGTTGCTGCCGCTGCTGCTGCTGCTGCTGCTTCTGAGGAGTTTGCAGAATCATGATTGCCATCTGTAGGTCTCAAATGCCCCTGCGTGTCTTCACTGCTGTCTGCAGCAACAGCAGCAGCAGCAGCAGCAGCAGCAGGAGTGGGAGGGGCCTGATCGCCCTCGTCTGGCAGCGTTTCTGCTGCTGCTGCTGCTGCTGCTGCTGCTGCTGCTGGCTTGTGCGGCGGCTGAGGCACCAAGACCCTGGAGAGGACCGCAGCAAACTTGGCAGCAGCAGCAGCAAACCTGAATCCGTCTGCTGCAGCAAAAGCAACGGGGGGCTGCGCTGCTGCTCTGCAAAGAGCAGCAAGGGCCTCGGAAATGTGGGGCCCCCGCTGCAGCACGAGGTGTACGTACACCTCAGCTAGCCCCGACAGGGGCCCCCAGTGGCTGTAAGGAATTCCTTTGCTGCTGTAGCAGCAGCAAAGCAGCCGCAGCGAGACGCTGTGTCTTTGCGTGTTGCTGCGGGTATACGGGGAAGTCAGCTGCTGCCACAGGGAGGCCCAGTCGGGCTCCCGCTGCTGCTGCTGCTGCTGCTGCTGCTGCTGCTGCTGCTGCGGCCGCTGCGGCTGCTGCCCCAGCTCCTCCGAGCTGCTGCAAGGCACGGCCAGAGTCTGCCAGGTCTCAGGAGCATCGTCCCCAACGGCCAGCTGCTGCAGCTGCTGCAGCGGCTGCTGCTGCTGCTGCTGCTGCTGCTGCTGCTGCTGCTGCTGCTGTGCGTCTGCTGCTCTGCTGCAGCCACAGGGGGGCCCCTGGGGGCCCGCTTCCCCGCTGCTGCTGCTGCTGCTGCTGCTGCTGCTGCTGCTGTGCGTCTGCTGCTCTGCTGCAGCCACAGGGGGGCCCCTGGGGGCCCGCTTCCCCGGGGCCCTCCATGGCGGCCCAAAGAAGTTTTGCTGCTTTTCTGTGGTGTATCTACAGCTCGGACCAATGGTCTCCCCTGAGCAGCAGCAGCAGCAGCAGCAGCAGCAGCAGCAGCAGCAGCAGCAGCAGGACGGCAACCGGAGGTGACCCTGCTGCTGCGGCTGCCGATTGTTGCGCGCTGGAACAAACAATGAAAAACAATAAACATGAAATGGAATTTATTTTCAATTTATATTTTCAATTTATATTTTTAATTTATTTTATTTTTTAATTATATTTCAATTTTAAAACCAAATTAATGATCGGCATTTCAGGAAATGCCTTACAGCCGCCACAATCGAGCGCTCGAGAGCAGTGGCCGCTCAAACCCTAAACCCTAAACCCTAAACCCTAAACCCTAAACCCTAAACAGTCTATTTTTGTAAGCAATAAACAATAAAATATTATTTCTTTAGGGGTTTATCTTCTTTGTGGCTGTGGGGCCCCAGCAGCAGAAGCAGTTAAGCTGCTGTAGAGGCCCCAGTGACCTGATACTCCCCCAAACGCCCAAACCCTAAAACCCAAACCCTAAACCCTAAACCCTAAACCCTTGCGGGAATCCCTCTCATCACTGAGTCCTGCCATGAGAAAACAAGCGACCGCAACCCCAAAAGCAAGTAAATTAAAACAGTAATTATTAACAGGGCCAGGAACAGCTAAACCCTTGACTCTAAACCCCAAACCCTAAACCCTAAACCCTCAAAATTAACCCCCTGACCCGAATCCTAACCCCTATTTACTTAAAGCTCCAAATTGCGAACAATCTTTGGGGCCCCTTGGGGCCCCAGGGCCACCAAGTGACCCCAGGGGCCCCCAAGGACCCAGGGGGCCCCCGAAGGCCCCTGAGGGCCCCTCAAGGCCCTTTGGGGGCCCCTAGGGGCCCCTCAAGTAAAAGGGGTTTGAGAATATGCGTAGTAGTGGCATTTGGGGCCCCTTGAGGCCCTTAGGGCCCTTAAAGCCACTAGAGGGCCCCTTATAGCCCATTGGGAGCCCCCCGGGGGCCCCCAATGGGCCTCAAGGGGGGCCCCAGGGGCCCCAAGGAGTCCCCAGGGGCCCCCTGGGGGCCCCTGGGGCCCTGAGGCGGCCCCCGGGGGCTCCCTGGGGTCCCCAGGGGCCCCAGAGGGTCCCAAGAGCCCCCATGGGGCCCCCAGGGGCCCCATGGGGCCCCCAGGGGGCCCCAAGGGGCCCCCAGGGGCCCCACGCCATGGGGCCCCCTGGGTACGCTGTGTTGTTATTGACATTAAGCATGAACAAAGAAGTGACAATGGAGACACAAAGAGCAAACAAAACGAAAAACGGACAGCCAACAATAAACTCCCAAGGGCCCCCAGGGGCCCCCGGGGGGCCCCCCTAAGGGGCCCCTGGGGGCCCCTCAGGGGGGCCCCCAAAGACGCCCCTGGGGGCCTTTTTCGAAAGCTCCTGCAGCCTTTTCTGAATCCCAAAACCCAAAAACTGAAAGCCTTAAGGGGGGCCCCCCGAGTACCCCTGGGGGCCCCCCGGGTACCTCTGGGGGCCCCCCGAGAGCTCCAGGGCCCCTGGGGGGCCCCCAGGTACCTCTGGGGGCCCCCCGGGTACCTCTGGGGCCCCCCGATGGGCCTTTGGGGGCCCCCGGGTACCTCTGGGGGCCCCAGTTGGGGCCCTAATGCAGTTTAAGTTGGTAAAGTTTTGAATTTAAATAAATTGAATTACATTCTGGAAGAACTGCAGGCCGAGTCTGGAAGGCCCAAACCCCTGGCCACTCGCAAGCCATAGTCCTTATCAGCTCGGTAAAACAGCTTCACTTGGCGCTCTTGCAGCTGCAGCAGCAGCAGCAGCAGCAGCAGCAGCAGCAGCAACAGCAGCAGCAGCAGCAGCAGCAGCAGCAGCAGCAACAGCAGCAGCAGCAGTTGAGCACTTGGCATGAGGATCCGATATCAGCACATTCACCTTTTCGCAAACAACTTGAATTTAAACAAATAACAAAACTAAACAATTAAATAATTAAATAAATAAAAAATAAATAATTAAATAACTAAATAAATAAATAATTAAACAATTAAATAATAAATAAATAAATAAATAAATAAATAAATAAATAAATAATTAAATAATTAAATAATTAAATTAATAAATGATGAATTGGCAAACTGGAAAACTCCACAACCAGCGAACTTCTCGCCGAGGAACTCAGCACGCGAGCAGCAGCAAAACAAATCCAAACAAACAAACAAACAAACAAATAAATAAATAAATAAATAAATAAATAAATAAATAAAACAAATAAATAAATAAATAAATAAATAAATAAATAAATAAATAAATAAATGATTACATGTCTGTCGGCGTTTTTCAAATGGTCCACAATGTTGCCAACTAGAGCCTCGCGGTCTTCGGGTGTCATTACATCTCGGTAGAGAATTCCAGCTTGCTCGAAGTCCTGAAGAAATTAAATTAAATTAAATTAAATTAAATTAAATTAAATTAATTAAATTAAATTAATTAAATTAATTAATTTAATTAAATTAATTAAATTAAAAAGGAAATAGAAAGATAAAAGGACAATTGAGTGGTTTAGGGTTTAAGGCGGTAAACCCTTGAAAGGACAAAAATGATACTCAAACCACACTGAGACGTAAAACCCTTCTAAACCCTAAACCCTAAACCCTAAACCCTAGCAAACCCTAGCAAACCCTAGCAAACCACAGCAACCCCCGGCAAACCCTAACAAGCCCAAACCCCCGCAAACCCTAACAAGCCCAATCCCCCGCAAACCCTAACAAACCCAGCCCCCACCAAACCCTAGCAAACCCTAGCAAACCCTAGCAAACCCAAACCCTAGCGAAGCCAAACCCTAGCGAACCCAAACCCTAGCAAAGCCAAACCCTAGCAAAGCCAAACCCTAGCAAAGCCAAACCCTAGCAAAGCCAAACCCTAGCAAACCCAAACCCTAGCAAGCCCAAACCCTAGCAAAGCCAAACCCTAGGCCGGCGCGGGGTGTGGGGTTTACGTCGTTGGGGTGGGAGTTGGGGAAGTGTCCCGTAAACCCTAAAAGAGGGGTTTGCGAGGGTTTGAACTGGGGGGCCTCCTTGGGGGCCCCCGGAAAGCTGTTGGGCTCATAATTCGGGAGGGCCCCATAATTGCCATTAACACACATGGGCCCATCTCGGATGTGGAGGGCCCTGAGGGGGCAGCCCCGGGGTCTGTTCACGGGGATCTGGTCGAAGTTTGCTGCAGCAGCAGCAGCAGCAGCAGCAGCAGCAGCACGCTCAGCAGCAGCAGCAGCAGCAGCAGCAGCAGCAGCTCACGGCCGAGCCTGTGGCGCTGCGTGTCCGGGTAAGCGAAGAGCCTGCCCTGGAGCATCTTGTCCTCGGAAGGCTCTATTCCTGGAATTAAATTTCCGGGAGAAAAAGCAATTTGTTCAACTTCTTGGAAGAAGTTTTTTGGGTTTTGCGTCAGAGTCAGCTGCCCCACCGGCAGCAGCGGGAAGTCCTTTTGCGGCAGCACTTTCGTCACGTCCAAGACGTTGAACTTGTACTTGGCAGCAGCAGCAACTGGCATCACCTGCAGCAAGTGGAAAGTCAATTAAACACCAAAACAGCTCCACAAACTGCTGCTGCTGCTGCTGCTGCAGCAGCAGCTTCAGCTGCGATCCAAAACCCAAACTCCAAAGCGCGGCAGATTAACAACGCCCAAACAGCTGTCTGTACACCCCAAATAGCTGCCTATACACCCCAAATAGCTGCCTATACACCCCAAGAAGCTGCCTGTACACCCCAAATAACTGCCTGTACACCATGTTTAGCTGCCTATACACCCCAAATAGCTGCCTAGACACCCCAGAAAGCTGCCTATACACCCCAAATAGCTGCCTATACACCCCAAATAGCTGCCCATACACCCCAAATAGCTGCCCATACACCCCGCAAGCTCTCAATGCACCCCAAAGAGCTGCCTGTACACCCCAAAAGCTGCCTATACACCCCACAAACCTGCCTATACACCCCAAAAAGCTGCCTATACACCCCAAAAAGCTGCCTGTACACCCCGTAAAGCTGCGGATACACCCGAGAAGCTGCGGATACAGCCGAGAAGCTGCGAGAGGAGCGGGAAGTGGATGTACACCTGAATGTAGAGAGTCCAGGAAGGAAAGTTTCCTTTTTCAATTGCATTAAAAAGATCTCTTGTTGCATAATCTGGATCTTCTCCGGCGAGCTGCTGCGCCCTTTGTCGCGAAAGGTTTTTTATCTTCTGGTTTGTCTTGAAGTGGAACTTGGCGTAGTGCACATCTCCTTCACTGAAAAAAAATTAAAATAATTTTAAATTAATTTAATTAATTTAAAATTAATTTAATTAATTTAAAATTAATTTAATTTTAATTGAACAATTCAAAAACAAAACTCTAAAAGACTGGAGGAGAGGGAGGAAGTCAAAGAGGCAAAAAACGGAATTCGCTTGCTTCTGCTCAGCGGCGTAAGAGACCCCAAACCCTAAACCCTAAACCCTAAACCCTAAACCCTTGTCACTTCACGAGTTTGAAGGCGCTTGGGCCCGCGTTTCCTCCCCCTCCCCCCAAACCCTAAACCCTAAACCCTAAACCCTAAACCCTAAACCCTAAACCCCTGCCAGTTGACGAGTTTGGGAGCGTTTGAGCCCGCGTTTCGCGCGGCTGGCGGCCAAGCGCAAGCCGCAGCCCGTGCGCGCAAACCCTAAACCCTAAACCCTAAACCCTAACCTGTTGACGAGCTTGAAGGCGTGGGAGGAGTAGCCATTCATGTGTCTGTAGCCGTCGGGAGTTCCTCTGTCGGAAAAAAGAATGGTGGTTTGGTGGAGGGTTTCGGGAGAAAGAGAAAGAAAGTCCCAAAACATGTTAGGGTCTGGAAGATTCGTTTGAGGGTTTCTTTTTTGAGAATGAATGAAGTCCGGGAACTTTAAGGGATCTCGAATGAAAAACACCGGAGTGTTATTTCCCACTAAGTCCCAAACCCCCGCAGCAGAATAAAACTTCACTGCAAACCCTCGGGGGTCTCGCAGAGTGTCTGCGCTTCCCTTCTCCCCCCCCACTGTTGAAAACCTCACAAACACTTCTGTCTCTTTTCCCAAACCCTCAAACACTGCTGCTTTGCAGTACCTGCAGCAAACACCCCCCGCTGCTGCTGCTGCTGCTGCTGCTGCTGCTGCTGCTGCGCAGCAGCGGCGAGCCGGCGCGCGCAAACGCGAAAGCGACACGCCGCGTCCACGCAGCAGCAGCAGCAGCAGCAGCAGCGAGGGGAGAGGACGCGGGGGGCGCAGCAGCAGCAGCAGCAGCAGCAGCAGCAGCAGCAGGAAGGGGAGTAGTGCAGCAGCAGCAGGAGCAGGAGCAGCAGCAGCAACGCATTTAGCAGCTTTAGCAGCAGCAGGGAGCAGCGCGGCCGGCGAGGCGGCCGCAAACCCCAAACCCTAAATTAGGGTTTCCTGGTGGCGCACTTTGTGATGTCGTGGGTCACTTTGAAAACGCCGTGCGCCCCAGCACCCTTGGCGTGAACCACTCTTTCCTGAAACCCCATAAACAAACCTCACAAAGTCCTGCTAAACCCTCCTAGGGTTTAGGGTTTAGGGTTTAGGGTTTAGGGTTTAGGGTTTAGGGTTTACGGCTGCAGCAGTGTAGGGCCTAGGGTTTAGCCGCGCAGCAAAGCAGCAGCAACACAAAGCCTCCTTCCCAAACCCCACAAATAAACCCACAGGGGCCCCCAAGGGGCCCCCCAAGGGGCCCCCTAAGGGGCCCCCCAAGGGGCCCCCAGGGAAAGCCCAAAGGGGCCCCCCAAGAGGCCCCATGAGGGCCCCACAGGGGCCTCTGTGGGGCCCCACAGGGGCCCCTCCGGGGGGCCCCTGTGGGGCCCCACAGAAACCCCACAGGGGGCCCCTGTGGGGCCCCACAGACACCCCACGGGGGCCCCTGTGGGGCCCCACAGATGACCCAAGGGGGCCCCCAGGTGCCTCCTGGGGGCCCCCTGGGGGCCCCCAGGGGGCCCCCTGGGGGCCCCCAGGGGGCCCCCAGAGGGCCTCTAGGTACCCTCTTTGGCCCTATTATCCCCAGAGGGGCCCCCTAGGGTTTTGTGGGGGGGTTTAGAAGGGGCACTAGTGGGCAAAAGGAGCGGGGTCTAAACCCTACAAACCCTAAACCCTAAACCCTAAACCCTAAACCCTAGTGCAGAGCCTACAGGGATTCTCTCTCTGTTGAAGTGGGCCAGTTTGTCCAGCAAGTGGAAGTCCGAAAGGAGCTGAACAAAAGAAAAACCAAAACCCTAAACCCTAAACCCTAAACCCTAAACCCACTTCAGAGGCACAAACCGCAGTTCCCACTGGGCCAAAACCCCGAACCTTAAACCCTAAACCCTAAACCCTAAACCCTAAACCCTAAACCCTAGCTCACCACTGGGCCATTGGGCCCCGCTGTCAGGGAGTTCTGATTGTCTCCTACGGGGGCCCCCGTGGAGGTGGTCAGCACAGGGCACTCCTTTTCCTCCATTGTGCTGCAGCAGCAGCAGCAGCAGCAGCAGCAGCAGCAGCAGCAGCAGCAGCAGCAGCAAGAAGCAACAAGAGAAGTGCGAGCCTTTTGCAGCTTTACTTCGTAAGAGCGACGACGGAAAAAGCAAATGCTGAGGAGTTAGCCACTGGCCCGTCTGGCGAGGGTTTAGGGTTTAGGGTTTAGGAATTAGAGCGTATAGCGTAGAATTGAGGGTTTAGGGTTTAGGGTTTAGGGTTTAGAGCTGGAAAAAGCTGAAAAGGAGGAGGGGTGGGCAGCAACAAACCTGCAGAATGCGTGGCCAGCTTGAGTTGAGTGCAGCGGCGCTTGTCTGCCGGCTTGTCGACGGTTTAGGGTTTAGGGTTTAGGGTTTAGGGTTTAGGGTTTGCAGGAAACTCAAAGAAACTCCTTTTCCTTCTGGACAATCAAGAATTAAACCGAAATGGGAAACACCTGCGCTGCACCGGCAGCAGGAACACACCCCGGCGCTGCGAGCGGCGTGGCTTCAGGGTTTAGGGTTTAGGGTTTAGGGTTTAGGGTTGCGGAGCGGGGGTTGCTGCAGCTCGGCGAGAAACAACCCCCCAAATATGCTTCCTTGTCCTTCAAATTTAATTCAATTAATAAATGAATTCCATTTGCAATTTGCTGCTGCTGGAATCTCGAAGCTGCAGCACAGCTGTACAGACACTGCACCACTGGCGGGCGTGGCTTGCGCGGGCCGCACATGCGCCAAAAAAGGGTTAATTCTTTGCTTATTTGTGTGAAATAGTTTCCTTTAATTAAAACACTTCATTTAAAGTGTTAAAACCCTGAAAAAGGGTTTGGTTGCTGCTTGATCGCTGCGCTGCTGCTTTGCTGCTGCTGCGCCCACCGGACCCACTGCAGCAGCGCCGGCGGCGCGCGAGCGCTCCTTTGCTGCATTTCGCCTTCTTTTTCGAATTCTTCTGCACTAAATAGTTTTTAAAATTAAAATGGGAGTCAAAATGCTTCGTGGAAACTCGAAGTCGCGGCGCTGTGCTCCCAGGTGTACGTACACCGCAGCACCGCTGGCGCGGACCGCAGCGGCTCAGTGCTGACCGTTGCTGCTGTTGCTGCTGCTGCAGACGGGGCTTTTAGTCTTTTATAAATTGCAAATAAAGAACTGCAACAATTTAGGGATTTAAATTCATTTTATTTAGTCTTTAAACTGGGAACTGCTGCTAATAAATGCGCAAGTTCCCTCTCTGCCATTTCCTCTAGTTCCAGCAGCAACTCCGCAGCGGCCTTTTGGCTTTTCCTTTTTTCCGTTTTTCTTTTTCTTAAATTTGACAAAGTTTTTTTCAACAGCACTCATCAGCTCTTGCTAGAGCGAGTTCCATAAGCAGCAGCAGCAGCAGCAGCAGCAGCAGCAGCAGCAGCAGCAGCAGCGGCGGCTCTGCGGGCTCGAAATATTTGTTTAGCCCTTCCGGCCTATTTGTGTTCCCTTCGTGTGTGTTTGAAGATGGGGTGTACCCAGTCTGCTGCAGCATCCCCTGCTGCTGCTGCTGCTGCTCCGGACGCAGCAGCAGCAG